TTTTGATGGATGGAGTCTTTAGGGTTTTCTATGAAAGAGAAGATATTACAGCTGATACCACAGAAATACAAAGGATCATAAGAGACTACCAGGAACAGTTATACACCAACAATTGAACAACCTAGAAGAAATGAATGCATTCCTAAAAACATATGACCTACCAAGAGTGAATCATGAAGAAATAAAAAATTCGAACAGACCAATTCCTACCAAGGAGATTGAATCAGTAATCAAACCTCTCGCAACAAACAAAAGTCCAGGGCCAGTCAGCTTCACTGGTGAATTCTATCCAACACTCAAAGAGGAATTAATACCAATCCTTCTCAAACTCTTCCAAAAAATAGAAGAGAAGGGAACTCTTCCAAACTCATTTACAAGGCCAGCATTATCCTACACCAAAACCACACAAGGACTCCGTTAAGAAAAAAGAAAGTTACAGGCCAATAACCCTGATGAACATAAATGCAAAACTTCTCAACAAACATTAGCAAACCAGGGGCTTCCCTGGTGGCGCAGTGGTTAAGAATCCGTCTGCCAATGCAGGGGATACGGGTTCAAGCCCTGGTCAGGGAAGATCCCACATGCCATGGAGCAACTAAGCCCGTGCGCCACAACTACTGAGCCCGTGTGCCCAGAGCCCGTGCTCCGCAACAAGAGAAACCACCGCAATGAGAAGCCCGTGCACCTCAACAAAGGGTAGCTCTGACTCGCTGCAACTAGAGAAAGCCCACGCACAGCAACGAAGACCCAATGCAGCCAAAAAAAAATTTAGCAAACCAAATTCAACATCATATTAAAGGATCAAGTGGCATTTATTCCGGGGATGCAAGGCTGTTTTAACATCCACAAATCAGGCAGTGTGACACACCGCATTAACAAAATGAAGCCTAAAAATCATATAATCATCTTAAGAGATGCAGAAATAGCTTTTGACAAAATTCAACATTCATTAATAAAAACTCTCAACAAAACAGGCGTAGAGGGAACATACCTCAACACAGTGAAGGCCATATATGGCAAGCCCACAGCTAACATCATACTGAAAGGTGAAAAGCTGAAAGCTTTACCCCTAAAATCAGGAACAAGACAAGGATGCTCACTCTTGCCACTTTTAGCCAACATAGTATTTGGAAGTCCTAGCTAGAGCAATTAGACAAGCAATTGTTTAATTAGACCACCACCCAAAAGAACAAGGAATTGAAGAATTCTTGCATACCTGAGATTGTAAAATTGTAAACTGAGATACTTCCCCACTACATGTATTATAAAGTCAAAAAATGAGAAAAAGAACCATCTCAGTGAATGCAAAATTCTTTAATGGGGGTAATGATTGACACTTTCTGTCTTTTATCATCCTCACCCTCTAAGGTATTTCTTTATTAGGGATTTTTTTGCACACTTTGAACACGAAAATCTTCAATCACACTGATAGGTAGTACTAGGTTCATTTATACAGTGTTACTTGAGTGGGGCCTATGCAGAATTACAACTTTCCTGATTAATACTATTTTGAAAAAGTTAAAATATCTGTAGACGTGAAAAAATCTTTATCCAGATACAGGCCAAAAAAAAAAGGGGCTATCTAGGTAACACGACTAAAGTCTCTGGTATGAATAAAGTTAACTTTGGTATATTACACATTTAAATAAGTGTTTCTTAATTACAACTTTGAAGTTGGAACTCTATTAAGAATAATATTACAGCTAACGTGGGGGCTCTTGGAAAGGATGTCATATAGTATAAGGATAACGCTACCGCTTATCATTTCGCAAGGGGCAAGGTCAAAATCCAGGTACCAGAAAAAACTGTTTTATGACATTAGGGCAGTGGTCCTCAAATGTGGGTGTGCATCAATTACCTGGAGGGCTTATCCAAACACAGACAGCTGGGCCCTCTTTGCTCACCGCCCTCCACTCCCCAGTTTAGGATTCAGTAGGTGGAGCCTACTGAACTTTGCAGGTCTAACAAATTCTCAGGTGGTGCCAATAATGCTGGTCCAAGGACCACCTTTGATAACCACTAGAACCAACTGTGGCTACCCTCTGTTGCTTGCCTTGACCTATGTACTTGCAAAGAGGAAGTACATGCCCCCCTCAAAGGTCTTCTGGGCTCAAGCCAGGGTTGAACCATTGCCCAGCTGCTTTCAAACATTACAGTCATCTAGGGACCTTTTTGTAAGCTAAGGATGCCTTGGCCCCATTTCTGGAGAATCTGATTTAACTGGTCTGGGCTGGGACCTGGATAAAAGCTTGTTGGAGCTTCAATGATCATTTTAAGGCAGTGGCTCAATGCTGGGTATTTGCAACACCTGAGAGTTTTTTAAACGATTACCTCGGCCTGGCTCCACTCCCAATGATCAGAATCTCCAAGGAAAGTGGGCCTGGAGTTTTGTTTTTGTTTTTAATTAATAGCACTTGTATGTTTACAGAAAAATTAAACAGAAGGTCCAAAGAGTTCCCATATACTCGTTCCCCCATCCTGCACCACTCCCCTAGTAGTAACACCTTGCATCGTTGTGGTGTGTTTGTTACAACACTGATGATTGATGACTACCGATACGTTATTTTTTAATTTTTATTCTTTTACAGTTTGACAGTTTCTTATTGGTGATATGTTATTATTAACTAAAGTCATTAGTGTACATTAGGGTTCACTCTGTGTTGTACATTCTATGGTTTTGCCAATTGTGTAATGTCACATATCCGCCATTGCAGTATCACATACAATGGTTTCAACTCTGGTATTTTTAAGTTTTTTAAATTTTTATTTATTATCTATTTAGGCTGTACCAAGTCTTAGTTGTGGTATGCATGTGGGATCTAGTTTCCTGACCAGGGATCGAACCCAGGCCCCCTGCATTGGGAGCATGGACTCTTACCCACTGGACCACCAGGGAAGTCCCAGTATTTCTTTTAAAAAAACACCCCAGGAGATTCATAGGTATAGCCAAGCTGAGAACGACTGACTTAACCAGGAATCAGGAACAAAATAACTGAGAACTTTCTCATGATTGTTATTTTTTTTTAATTCCTCATCTGATTCTCGGTAATGATCAACAGCAAAATTAAAAGGGAGCAGGGTGTCAATTTGAATAAAAAGCAGTAAAAAGATGCATACCCAAACACAACCATTCAGATATTATTTACCTGTCATATTGGCAAAGTTCAAAAAGTTTGCTAACACACTACATCGAAGGGTACTCTCAGACACTGCTAGTGGAACGGAGTTTGGTAAAACCTCTGTGGAGGAGCATTTTGGTAATATCTACCAAAATTGCAAATGTACTGACCTTTGCACTCACCAATTCTACTTCTAGAAGTCTATCCTATAGATAAATGTGCAAACTGGCATATGTGCAAAATTGTTTGTAATGACAAGATTGATAATAACCTAAATGCCCAGTGCTGCCAGTGGTTGCAGCTTTGGACGGGACTGGGGGTTAGGGGTTGGGGGTGGGAACTAGCTGAGGCCTGAAGCTGCTAGAGAGAAAATTAAAACCAAGAAGCTGGGGTGGGTCTAAGGGCTCAACAGCTGCAAGCCTGTTCCTATTAGTCTGTGAACTCCTCTGAGCAACAAACCTGTAAGTAATCATAAGAGTTTTAACTCAAACAGTACAGAAGAGATATTTTGCTTATTTAACAAACATGGATTACACACATGATGCTGTGTTAGCTGAGGCAGGCTCATGAAACCAGCAAAGACACAATCCTGGCTCTCAGGAAACTCGCAGTATTATAAGAAGACAAAAAACTGTATTTGGAAAGCGGTACTGCTGGTACAACATTGATGCGTAAGCAAAACATACACAAGCAGCAGGGAAATTAGGGGCACCCGAGTTTGCTTTTAGGAACCAGGGAAGGTTCCACAGAAGAAATAGCTTTTGAATTAAACCTTGAAGGTGAAGATGGAATTTGCCAGGCAAGAGCCAGGAGCAGGAGAATCTCAGGAAGAAGGAAATCAATGCGCAAGACATAGCATGCAAGGGCAAACACCTGTTCTGGGAACTGCTTGTAGAGCATATCATGGGGGGGTCCTAGGACCTGTCCCCTAGCCTGCCATGACCACCGTAACTTATCTCCTTTATGCTAGGCTTGGGACAAGGGGAAGGCCTCAAGCCTTGGGATCCTTTCAGCCTTTTAAAATTAGTTTCCTAATGGAAAAGGGAGAGGAGATCCAACTTCAGGGAGAACTTACGGGCTGTGGGCTGCACTTTGGAGCAGAGCTTTAAAATGCTGTCCAAGAAAGACTTATAACAAAGAGGACACAGAAGAGGGTGTCAGGCCCAACAAAACGCCTGGTGTCAGTGACAGCAACCTACTTCCTGAAAAAAAGGTTCTTGTGCAAAGAAAGAAGATGAATCACTCAGAAATCAGTGTTCTAAACTTCTTTTCCTGTAGCAGTAAGGCTTCCTTTCCAAGGCAGTTTCATATGGACTGTCACCCAGTTTTTATTTCCAAACAATACATTTTCTCTTTTTATATGTTTATTGCTGTACCATTCCAATGCTCATCTATACAAGTAGTTGGATGCACTCACTTCAATGTTACAGACTATACACAAAATACCAAAATCAATTAGCATTACAAAATCGGTAACAAAAAGTATCTGGAAAATCTGTGCAGCTTTGGCGTTTTTAAGCTGTTTCTCAATGTTTTAGACAAGCAAGGCCTTTGCCACGTGCCTTGCACAGTGAATGCTTCACAAACATCCGTTCAGCGATTTTACACAACCAGGTTCCCGCGCCTCTTGGCCGGCTCGCGGAGAAGTTTCCCGTTTCTCGGGCTGTCACTTCCCATACCCCCGCCTCGGCCCGCAGGGTCCTGGGGCCCCGGGACCACCGAGCCGCAGGAATCTGGCGACACGCCATAAAGCACTCGGTGGTCCCGAGCCCGCATGCGTGGCGCCGGGGGATCTGCGCGGGGGGCGGGGCCAGCCGCCGCCCCTCCCCCGCCCGCCCCGCCCCGCCCCGCCCCGCCCCGCCCGCCGCTCCTTCAGGTGCGCGTGCGCCGCGGCCCTCCCGCCACCGGGACTGGGTCTTCCCGGGCTCGGCAGCTGGTGTCGATTTCTCTGCGCTTTTCGGCTGCCTGGCACGCCAGTGCCCTTCGGCTCCCGCCCGGCCCTCTCCCGGTCAGCCCGGCGGCGGGGCCATGGCGTGGCGGCGGCGGCGGCCCGAGGCCCGCAGCGGAGCCCGCGGCGCGCTGGCGCTGCTAGCGCTGGCCCTGTGTGCGCCCGGGGCCCGGGGCCGGGCGCTCGAGTGGTACTCGGCCGTGGTGAGCACCGAGTACGTGGACCCGCAGACCAACCGGAGCGTGCGGAGCGTCTCGGAGAGCGGCCGCTTCGGCGAGAGCTCACCCAAGGAGGGCGCGCGGGGCCTGGTGGGCGTCCCGCGCGCCGAGGACCGCGACCCCGAGGGCTGCGCGCCCCGCACGCGCTTCCTCGTGCCCGGCGGCCGGGGAGCCGCGCCCTGGGTCGCGCTGGTGGCGCGCGGGGGCTGCACCTTCAAGGACAAGGTGTTGGTGGCGGCTCGGCGGAACGCCTCGGCCGTGGTCCTGTACAACGAGGAGCGCCACGGGAACCTCACCGCGCCTATGTCCCACGCGGGTGAGCCGCCGGGGCGCGGGGACTGGCGGGGCGTCCGTGCGCCGCGGTCCCGGCCGACCGCCCGGTCCTCCGGCGGGACCGCGAGGGGCGGCGACGATGGGCTCTGGCCGAAGGGAACTACGAGGGAAGCGCTAGGTTGGCTCGGTGTGATCCCCGGGGGCTCTTAGGAGGGAGGCGAGCCTAAGGACAAGATTAGATCGTCTCCCTGGGCCCTTCCAAGTGGAGGGAGGTGCGCTGTGCAGGAGGGTGATGGGGAGAACGGAAGAAATTAAAACCCGCAGGAGGAGGATTGTGGTTCTCGCCGGCGGAAAGTCTCATGATTCCTAATCATGGATCCTTGCCATTCGGCGTTCCCCAAAGTCAGGTGGCGCAGGAGTGGAAGCTCTTTCCCAGGGCATTCCAGGGTCTGGCTCTCCCTTCACCACGTAAGGTGGTGGCTTGGTGACACTCTGGTGTCTTCACTTTCATAAAACATGTCAATATTCTGAACTTTTGAGTGGGACAGTCTGGATTCAACTGAGTCAGAAAACCTGGCCTTAAGTTGGGGTATGTTTTCTCACTTGCTAAATAGAAGGTTATAATACTGGCTCCACTGCCAATCAGATCGCTTGACACTTGAGTTTAGTTGAAAATTTTAAAGTTGCGATCATGCAGGAAAAGATCTTGCTCTTGGGACTTCCCTCGTGGTCCAGTGGTTAAGACTCTGCCCTTCCGCTGTAGGGCACGGGTTCGATCCCTAGTCAGGAAACCAGGATCCCACAAGACACATGGCTTGGCCAAAAAAAAAGAAATTTTACTCTTTGCCGGGTGACCCTTCCCACACACTGTTCGGGGCAACGGGTTGCATCGTCAAGCAGTCATGAAAGTTTAAAAGGTGCATTTTGCAAGGTTATCATCCTTAGAACTGAATTCCAAGTGATAGTCTACCAATACACGGCAGAGTCGGAAGGCCTTCGAAGAACACGACTCATTCTGAACTTACCGGGATTAAAATCTCTTTAGAGAGTTTCTCCTGCTGCTGCAAGTCAGACATCCCTTTTCCTGTGCTTTTGGTTTTTGTTCTGTTTTGGCTTCTTGAATGCAAGTTCAGAATACCTGTACAATGAGGACAGGAGAGTGACTTTGCATTTGGCCTACTTTAGCAGAACGAGGGAACAGAAGTCTGTTGAGACGTGAGGAAGTGAGACTGTTAGAACCACGCTTTCAAGATGGTTGACGGCAAGGGCTGGGGAGATGCTAAAAAGTGGGTGGAAACCCGTAGGGCAGGGAAGAGTGGGCTGGATGGCAGCCAGGCATATTGAAGTTGGATGGAGTGATCTGGTAGAGGTGTAGGTTGGAGACGAGGTAACAGAAAGAGTCAGGTTTTTGAGAAGGACAGCGGCTGGGTCCAGGATACTCGTGGAGGGGTTGTCCTCAGATAGGAGAGGGGAAATTCCTCCGTTGCAACAGAGAGGAAGTGGGTTTGGGGAGGAAACGGGAGCAGATGTCCCCGTGGTGGCACTGGGCGATGCACCACCTTTGGTGCAATTATTCCAGTTGTCACCATACCCAAATCACGTCTCTACCAGCCTCTCGTGAGAAGTTCTGTCAGAGTTCACACAGCGCTCCAGATGCATCCTGTGGACAGGCATCTGCCAAAGAAAAGAGGGCAGTGTGTGAGGGTTCTCTGGTGATGGGTCCTTGCAGTCCCTTCTGAGTGATATCGTAATGGGGGCTTTTTCTTTTCCATGGCAGGCCCATCAGCCTACAGTTTTCTAAATCTGTTTACTGCATTTTTTGGTAGTGACATTCACGTCCTTCCAGGCTAATTGCACTTGTTCTAACCATGGTTCAGTAACCTTGCTTGCTTACATTATTGGCATATAATCTGTCCAGGCCCAGAAAACACCCAGGCCCAGAAAGCCCTGGGAAAGAGCTTCCACTCCAGATTATTGACATATAATCTCTCCAGGCCCGGAAAACACCGAATTGGTATTTATTTTACATCTTCTTCCTGTGAGCTTCTGTTGCCATTATCAGTGTCTATTCTAGCCTTTTTACTGTGAGAATAATTCTGTTTGAGAAAAAAGACAAAAGTAACAGCATTAGGAATTTTTTTTTAAATGTATGAAAGCTCCCAGTGCAGAGTCGGTATTCTCCGCTTCTTCCTCCCGACAGCCCTTCGAGGTGGGTACTTTAACCCCGTTTTACAGATGAGGAAACCAATGCCCAAAGAATTTAAATGCCTGGCCCATGGTAACACGGTGATCTATGGCCAGATCATTCTTTGTTGCAGGGGCCTTTCCTGGCCTCTACTCACAAGATTCCAGTTGCGACAACCAAAAATGTCTCCAGATATTGCCAGATGTCCGGGGGCAGAGGGGATGACAGTAGCATCCAATGTTTTGAACCACTGACTTAAAAGGTGAATTTGGTGTACTGTGACCAATGGGTTACACAGAGGAGACGCTGGAAACAGGGAATCCACTTAGACCAGTGTCTAGTCCAGGTAGAAGTGTAAGGGCCTATACTGTAGTGGTCACTAGAAATGGAAAAGAATGACCCTCATTCTCAGAAGGTGGCCCCACTGGGGACAAGGGTACAGATGTTTCATGGCTTTTTGAGAATGGACTAGAATTAAGAATGGAGTGAGTGGAATTAAGTCAGAAGAGGAGACAGCTTTGATGGACTAGAATTTGAAACGTTACACAGAACGTTGACGGCAGCTCAGACTTTGCTTTCTCGTGTTTTGTCAGAGCGTGGACAGGGCCAGTGTAAAGCACTGATCAGCGGTTCGGTGCCGGGGCTCCACAGAATAGGTCGAGGTGGCTGCTTGTAAACTCCAATCATGATAGTCTCCTCCCAAGTCTCAGAATTTCACCAGTTTTTCTTAGACCTGTTGCTTGACTACTAGAATCCAGTACAAGATATTTTGGATTTAAATCAGTATTTTATTGTGGTTCTAAAATAAATCGTGACTTTAAGATAATATTCTATCAGGACTTCTGTAAGGACCGTTACCCTAATGCCCAAGGTTGGTTCCCTTTACTTTGGCCGATGGATATACAGCGGCCAGTCTGGGCCAAGTATGGCGCCTGCTTGGGGGTAGAAACGCCTAAGACGTGTGCCGGGACTTTGAGGAATTCCCAGCCTAGTGGGAGCGATAAACAGACCTTTCCAGGCAATGTGGCTTGGACCTCGACAGAATTATATGCACAGGTACTTAGAAAGCATAAAGGAAGGGCATCCGATGCAGAGATAGTGCAAAGATGATTAGAAGTCAGTTTGACCAAGAAAAGTAAAAATTGATGTAAGTCAGACCATTGAAATGAAAGCTTTTGGAGAGGGTCGGCCTCGATGTGGTGATTGTTAGTTAACAGCAGGCTGATCCTTTAGCTGATATCTTGAGTGGCTGTTTAGACTGGCCCTTTAGTTCTGTCAGCAGTTTAGAGTGCCAAGTACCGGCAGGGCTTAGAGGTGTGTTTGGGGAAGGGGCCAGAGTTGGGGTGGAGGGAGATGACACAGGTGATGCGAAATCCTTACCTCAGGAAAGATGTGCGTTTTGTGTTTGCAGAGCACGGTAAATAGTCTCTTATGAGTGAATGATGCTCGATGGTCTTGAATGCTGCCCTCTCACAAATGATCTAAACGTTTAGATTTGAGAGTAGAATGTATTTCGGTGCCCTAGGAAGAGATGGCGCCCCCCAGCCTCACAGCAGATGGGATTAACTCAGACAGTTCCCAGACAGATGGAGTGTTGAAGCACAGCTTAAGCTGATGAAGGTATCTGAGTGTGTGTCTGGTACGTGGGGTGGAGTGGGGCTGTAGAACCTTCTGGGTGAAGGGAGTGGCCTCGGAAAAGACTGCAGGCCTGAGGCGACAAAGTGAGGCGTTCTGGAAAGCTGCAAAGAGATCGCAGTAAGATTGTTGAGTATGTACTCAGCAAATGCAGAATATCCTTGAGCAAGCCGGGTTATGCAAAACAAAACTCATCCTAGCCAAGCAGAGAGACATTTCTGTTCGCATGACGGCTTCACATTTTGGAGACGTTTCCGTTCATATTTGGTGTACTGTTTCCCCTGCAGAGGGAGTCTCTGATAATTCTCCTTATTGGGTCAGCTCAAGGATAATACCGGAAGATAAACCAGTTTTTCAGGTTGATTCATTTGTACAGAAACCCTTCTGTTGGGCCATCACTGTGTGAGGCTGAGCGCAAAAACTAATAAATAAGAACTGTAGTCCTTGTCTAGTGAGGGGGCGGGGCCCAGGAAGACATTCTAGCAGGAGGGTAGAAAGAGGTGTACTTCAGAGGCGTTGCTGCATCTTAAAAGATTTGACCAGGAATTCTCCAGGTTTGGGGAGGAGGGCGGGAGGGATGAAGAGAATAAGGAAGTTAAGTTATTGGAAAAAAGAAAACCTGAAAGGTCATGGGATTCTCTAGGAGATTTAAAATGTATTTCTCGCTGCCTGCATCTAGAACAGAAATCTAAGCCACCACTTTAAATATTTTAGCAGTTCCCATCTCCTTCAAGAGAATGTTGAAATCTACTTTAAATAGTTTCCTAGGAAGGAGGAATGGTACACTAGACTCAAAGGTGACCCTCCGGAATGTTGAAGCTATTGACCAAAACAGATTTTCTTTTTACATTTTTTGTTTGTTTTTGACAGGGTGGTAAGGGGAACTGTTATTTCTCAAGTAGGTTTATGATCGTGTGCTCTGTTTGAGACCTTATGCGACGCCGATGTGTAAGACAGAAATCCAACAGACTGCCTTCAAGGAGTTTAGCGGTGAGGTCTTTAGGTTCTTTTGGGGAAGGGCGGGCATTGCACAAGGTGACCTGTTTCGGTCAAGTGTGATTGGTAGCACTGAGGCCTGGGGAAGAAACACATTCAAAGGGCTTTTTCTCCCCTTGTCCCAAGACTCTGTGCGTCTGTGTCTGAAGAAGGCACAGGCAAAATGTTTGCTTTGGCAATCAGCCGTGACTTGCGCTCTCGTGCCACTAGGGCTCTCTAGGACTGGCCCCCGGTACATCCGGAGGGGAGGGCAGGGCCAGACGCGGGGCCTGTGCTCGGCACCCCTTGGGGTTGTGCGCCCAGTGACCCTGAGCTAGTGCATGTTTACTCAACTGCCCGGCCTCCAGTTCATCCCACACATGCCCCAGAAGAGCCAATCACGGGATCGAAGAAGTCTTCGTTCTGAGTTTTCAAATCTAAAGTAGTTCCCAGAAGCAATCTTGCTACTATAATTGGAGTGTAGCAAAATTTAGCACTCAGTATTTTTTTTTTTTTCAATTTCTTGTAACTTAATGAACTAAGAGTTTCCTAGGTGAAAAATTTCAGATTGATACTGGAGATGTTTTCCGTCCCAGGTGTCCTGATAATCACTGCTTGTCTGCAGCCCCTGCCTTGAGGTTTCGGGTGTTCTCAGCTCATCCCCCATCTCTCACTCATTTAGACAACAAATATTTATTAAATAGTTACTATGTGCCAGGTTCTACATGAGCCACTGGGGCTAATGAGATAAGCAGGATACATTTATGTGTATTTAGTCAGTCACCATTCCAAATATGCTCTTATATGATGGTTTCACAGCCCAGAAATCTCCCTTCTTTTGCTTGGGGAACTTTTCCAGTCCGTCAAGATGCACTGACTTCCCAGGGAAAAAGTTCCCTCCCACCCCAGACAAAATGATCAGTTCATTTCCGCAGTTTTCTGTTATTCCACGTTCTCGTTAGATAAGCGACAGCCCCAAATAGAAAAATTCTCATCCGCATTTTACAGCTGAACAAATACTTTCAGAGCACCCAGGCAGTGGTTGTCCGAGGGAGATGTGAGCCTGGCTGGCCTTGAAGCCTGAGTCCCCCCAAATGAGTAGGCAGGGCAGAGGCACACGTAGGAGCTGGGGCTTCAGGCCCTGGAACTGGCTTTTCCAGGTGGTGTGTGACATTGAGCAACTCTTTTTTTTTTTTTTTTTAGTTGGAGTATAGTTGCTTTACAGTGTTGTGTTCGTTTCTGCTGTACGATGAAGTGAATCAGCTATGTGTATACATATATCCCCTCCCTCTTGGACCTCCCTCCCCCCATCCCACCCATCTAGGTCATCACAGAGCACCGAGCCGAGCTCCCTGTGCTATACAGCAGGCTCCCACTAGCTAGCTATTTTACACATGGTACTGTATTTAGCCCTCGTCTGTAAAATGATTACTCGACTCTTTTCTGCCTCAAGTGTGAGACAGAGTGAAAGTGCTTCAGAGTTGGTTTTCCCCATTAACACACAAAGGTCATTCTATCATCAGTACCAGAAACTGTAACTGTAGCATAGCAACATTTTGTTTTCTGTATAAAAGAGAGACAGGTACACGGGGTTCATTATACTCTCCTTTCTACTTTAGCATGTGCTTGAAATTTTCCACGAAAGGAAACTTTTCTTAATTTATGAAAAGGGCTTTCAGCTTATAAAGCACCACATAATCGTAAGTGGTACAAGTATCCTAATTGTTTCTGTATTTGTCTTTCTCAGCTAGGAGATGTTTATTTCCCTGAAGGCAGGAAATGCCTTGCTCCTTATTAAGTCTCCCCAGTGATGATGTAGTAGATTGCGTGAGTGCTCAGACAACTGGGTTACTTGCCAAGGAACACTTTTAGGGCTGGGTCATAGGATCGGCCTCCAGACAGCAGCCACCTGAGAAGGGTGCCCTTCTGGGTTTTCAGTAACTAAATCCCCACGGCCCAGGGCGGATTTGCTACAGATTAAATTTCTCTCTATAATAAAATAGTGTGAGAATGTGGTTTCACTGTAATGCCAGAGAACAGTCTTTAAATGTATTTTGTAAGTTAGTTTTTGAATAGGTAATATGTACACCTGATAGAGAATTTTTCCTGTATCCAGCTCTCCCCCCGCCCGGAGGCAGTCAGGGTCCCCAGTCTCTGGGGTAGCCTTCAGGGGGATCTGTACTGATATCGCCACGTAGACCTCTTGTCCACACAGTTTTACGTGCGGCTTTTTTCCTCTTGTGTCTTGACTACCGTCACTATTAACAGAGCTGCTGCCTCAGACTGTGTACACGTACTGTAAGTTATATAACTATTATTGATGGACATTTATATTTTTATTTTTTTAATAAATAAATAAATTTATTTATTTTTGGCTGCGTTGGGTCTTCGTTGCTGCAAGCAGGCTTTCTCTAGTTGCGGCGAGCGGGGGCTACCCTTCGTTGCAGTGCACGGTTTCTCATTGCAGTGGCTTCTCTTGTTGCGGAGCACGGGCTCTAGGCACTCGGGCTTCAGTAGTTGTGGCTCGCGGGCTCTAGAGCGCAGGCTCAGTAGTTGTGGCACACGGGCTTAGTTGCTCCGCGGCATGTGGGATCTTCCTGGACCAGAGCTTGAACCCGTGTCCCCTGCATTGGCAGGCGGGTTCTTAACCACTGCACCACCAGGGAAGTCCCATTGATGTACATTTAGGCTGTGATAGCAAAATTTTAGAAAAAACACTGGCAGTAAATATCTTTATGGATTCCTCTTGTGTGCATACATAAGTATACCTTTGGAATTAGTTTCTTGGATCTGGAATTGCCGGGTCAGGGAAACATGTGCATTTAAAAACTTTTAGTAGCTGTTGCTCTCCCTACCGGGTTGTAATAATTCACTCCCCCAGGAAGAGTGCCCGTTTATACTTGCTCTTGCTGATATGGTGTATCAGACTTTTTGATGTTTGCCAGTCTTCTAGGTGTGTTTTCATTTGTACCATGACTTTTCATATGTTTAAATCCTTTCTGGGGGGAGTGATCGCTAATATGTACCAGATTTCTTTTGGGGGTGATGAAAATGTTATGGAATTAGGTAGTGGTGATGGTTGCGCAGCCTTTGTGAATATACTAAAAACATTGAATTGTACACTTATTTAAAACAATGAATTTTATGGCATGTGAATTATATGTCACTAAAGATGCTGGGTTTTTTTTTTAACCCATTTGTGTTTTCTGCAAACTGACTTAATTTTCTTTGTTTTTCTGTTGCTCTTTTTCTTATAGGAAATTAGCTTTTAGTCTTTGTTACGTTCCATGTATTTTTTTCCCCATTGACCAGTTGGTCTTTTGATCTTGAGTCCTTGATTTTCCTCTCTTTAAGCCAGTGCAGAAAATTTTTGTTTTTATGTAATTGGTTAGTTGCTCAAATCTTTTCTTTTTTTTTAAGAAGTTTCAAGGTGATTTTTCACACTTGGAAAGGCTTTCCTTCAATATTACTTATTTTTTAATTCCCATGTTTCTTCTGGCTCTTTTATGTTTTCTCTTTTTTATATATTTAAGTCTTGGATTTGGTTAGAATTTATTTTGGCTTAAGTTGCAAAGAAGGGATGCAGCTTTTTTAGCCTCAGGTGATACTCAGCGGCACCCACACTGTTTTTTTAAAAAACAATCCATTTTATCCCATTGATTTGAAATTCCACTTTTATCATTTACTGAATTCTTTTATGTATTTGGGTCTAGTTTCTGGGCTTCTTATTCTGCACCATTCTGGTTGTCTTCATATGCTACTACCACACTGCTCTAATTACTTTGACAACAAAGGCTAGTCCAGGTTTTACTGTTTACAAAGTTTTCCTGATTGTTCTTTATTATTTTTCCCCTAAATGAGCTTAGAAGCAGAATTTTTAAGGTTTTTAAAATCCCATTGATAACTTAAAAAATTAATTTATAGATTCATGTAAAATTGGCCATTTTATCCCTTTTTTATTTCCCTCATTTTTTTGTCTTACGTCTGCTTGTGTCCTCAGAACAAGATGAAATAATATCGAGCATAGTGAAACTTCTCCGACTGCCTCCCTGAGTTAATGGGTGTGCTTAGGCATTCGTATTAATAGTCACAAGTTGAAATTGGTCTGTGTGGTTCTTATGTTGGTTTTTTGCTACCACGCTTGGTTCTATTACCTTAGAAATAATTTTAAGGCTTCTTTTTATTTTTTTCAATCTGCTGTGGAGCACTTTAAATGTCATTAATGTTACTTGCTCTTTAAAGGTTTGGGGGTAGAACTCACCTGTGAAACTGAACGGGGGGTGGGGACGGCTCTTGCTTTCTAGGGGGTAGTTCTTAGTGATTTATTCTGCTTCTTATGCAATCAGTGTTTTCTCCTTGGAGACCAATGTTGGTAACTTGGGTTTTCCTAGAAAATTATCCATTTTATCACAGTTTTTGGTTGTATGTGCATGGAGCCATACTTTCTCTGTATCTTATTTTGTGTTCTTCATATTTGTTCCTTTGTTCTTTCCTGCAGGAACAGGAAATATAGTAGTCATTATGGTTAGCTACCCCAAAGGAAGAGAAATTGTGGATCTGGTGCAGAAAGACATTCCGGTCACAATGACCATAGGGCTCGGCACCCGGCACGTACAGGAGTTCATCAGCGGTCAGTCTGTGGTGTTTGTGGCCATCGCCTTCATCACCATGATGATTATCTCATTAGCCTGGCTAATATTTTACTATATACAGCGCTTCCTATACACTGGCTCACAGTTTGGAAGTCAGGTAATTGTCTCTCTAACTTTGCTTTTTAAAAGATAGTTTGTAAATATTTCCTATATATATTGCTTGAAATTATTGGACAATATTCTTAATTTCATTATCACTCACAATATTTTAAGTATTAATATGGGATTTTTTAAAATATAAATTTATTTTATTTTTATTTATTTTTGGCTGCGTTGGGTTTTCGTTGCTGCGTGCAGGCTTTCTCTAGTTGCGGCGAGCAGGGGCTACTCTTTGTTGTGGTGCGCGGGCTTCTCATTGCGATGACTTCTCTTGTTGAAGGAGCACGGGCTCTAGGTGCGCGGGCTTCAGTAGTTGTGGCGGGCGGGCTCAGTAGTTGTGGCTTGCGGGCTCTAGAGCACAGGCTCAGTAGTTGTGGCGCACAGGCTTAGTTTCTCCGCGGCATGTGGGATCTTCCCGGACCAGAGCTTGAACCCGTGTCCCCTGCATTGGCAGGCGGATTCTTAACCACTGCGCCACCACACCAGGGAAGCCCGTGGCGGGGGGGTTGAAATAAGTTTTAAATTAGAATATATTAAACTTTCTGTTCTCTGGGAAAGTGGGTCATGTTTCACTCCTGCAGAGACCCTCTATCCTTCCCAGATGTAAAGGGATGACAAAAAAGCAAGGCATGAGGTGGGGGCGACCTGGTTCTGTGTTTCGAAAGAGAACGGGCCTCCCTGTCTCCATGGTGGAGCCGCGTTCAGAGCCATTTATCTGCAGAGACTGGTTCAGTAACAGGGGAGACAAGGGCCCTCTGGGTTCCCCACTCACCTGTTGTCTTGAGAACCGCCCCCTTCCTGGCTCTGCAGGCAGTAGATGGTCATTTCTGGGTCATCTTCCACCTCCGACTAGGAAGCCTCTGCCCTTTTAGGGACGTTAGCAGATGAGCGTATGGAGCCCCTTCCTCAGCTGACGACGTTCTTACCAGTAATTAAACATAAGATTGGTTTCTTCTAAAAGGGAAGCCTCTTGCACTGTTGGTGGGAATGTAAATTGATACAGCCACTATGGAGAACAGTATGGAGGTTCCTTAAAAAACTAAAAATAGAACTACCATACGACCCAGCAATCCCACTACTGGGCATATACCCTGAGAAAACCATAATTCAAGAAGAGTCATGTACCAAAATGTTCACTGCAGCTCTATTTACAATAGCCAGGACATGGAAGCAGCCTAAGTGTCCGTCGACAGATGAATGGATAAAGAAGACGTGGCAAATATATACAATGGAATATTACTCAGCCATAAAAAGAAAGGAAATTGAGTTATTTGTAGTGAGATGGATGGACCTAGAGTCTGTCATACAGAGTGAAGTAAGTCAGAAAGAGAAAAACAAATACCATATGCTAACACATATATATGGAATCTTAAATGGTTTTGAAGAACCTAGGGGCAGGAAAGGAATAAAGATGCAGACATAGGGAATGGACTTGAGGACACGGGGAGAGGGAAGGATAAGCTGGGACGAAGTGAGAGAGTGGCATGGACATATATACACTACCAAATGTAAAATAGATAGCTAGTGGGAAGCAGCCGTGTAGCACAGGGAGATCAGCTCAGTGCTTTGTGACCACCTAGAGGGGTGGGATAAGGAGGGTGGGAGGGAGGGAGACACAAGAGGGAGGAGATATGGGGATATATGTATATGTATAGCTGATTCACTTTGTTATAAAGCAGAAACTAACACACCATTGTAAAGCAATTACACTCCAATAAAGATGTTAAAAAAAAAAGGTTTCTTCTTCAGACATGGAGTTGAAAATAAGTATTCTTTAGCAACAAAACAGCTCTTAAGTTAACATGTGGCTGTTGTGTACATTAGGACTTCAGTGGTAATTTCTTCTTTTTAAATTTATTTATTTATTTTTGGCTGCATTTGGTCTTTGCTGCTGTGCGTGGACTTTCTCTAGTTACGGCGAGTGGCGGCTACTCTTGGTCGTGGTGCGCAGGCTTCTCATTGCGGTGGCTTCTCTTATTGCAGAGCATGGTCTCTAGGCGCGTGGGCTCACTAGTTGTGGCTCGTGGGCTCTAGAGCGCAGGCTCAGTAGTTGTGGTGCACGGGCTTAGTTGCTCCAGGGCATGTGGGATGTTCCAGGACCAGGCCTCGAACCTGTGTCCCCTGCATTGGCAGGCAGATTCTTAAGCACTGCGCCACCAGGGAAGCCCTTCAGTGGTAATTTCTTAAAATTAGTTTCATTGTAGTCATCTAACTTTGCTTTTTAAGTGAAATTTTTCCACATCTGCTTATATTATAATATATGAATTTTTTAAATAGTGACTTAAATTTTTCAATAATAAGAATGTTTTTCCTCCCTAAGAGCCATAGAAAAGAAACAAAGAAACTTATTGGGCAGCTTCCTCTTCATACTGTAAAGCATGGAGAAAAGGTAATATTTTCATAGTTTTTTGTTTGTTTGAATTAAACTGAAAACTCAGTTCCTCAGTCACACTGGCTACATGTCAGATGCTCAGGTGGCCACATTGGCTGGACAGTGCCCACACGTCCATCCTCCACCTGTCGGTCAGACACAGGTAACTCTGAAGAAGCTCTGGTCTCTACCGGAGGCCCTGAAGCTTAAATCCATCTCCATTAAATCTCACACTCTCTGTCCATTCTCTCTGAGACTCCTTTAATTACAGGGAGAAAACACAGGGATTTGTGGAGAAGGGGAGAAAAGATATTTTTAAAACTTTTTAAAAAAGAAACGTTTCACATGGCCAACCTGAGACTTTTAAAAGGCCAAAATCGTACCAGAGTTCAGAAGCATTTTGGAATAGGACAAATCCTAACGAAATCTCGGAACCTCAGGTTCTTAGAGGATAGATTCCTTAAAGGAAAACAGTTGCTAACGCAGGAACAGTTATTCTCCTAATGGTCCGTTTACTGTGCTGGGAAATGTTGATGGCTGTGTTGACATAGATAGCTATGCGTTGGTTCCACTGTTTCCACTTTCGTTTTATCTCCCTGAGTTGTTGAGATCTAGTCCATGCCGATCCCCCAGTCTCCACTCCCCTGTAAGTGCATTTGGGTCCACATCTCCTCCTCTGACCTACTTAAAGGATTAAAGCTTTAGAATAACACTCATTAAGTCTGTAGACCTTTGACTTTAAAACTTTGGAATCTGATATTAATGGTTCATGTGGAATATGTAACATTCTACTCTTGGAATTGTACTGTCTGTTTCATTCTTGCCCGAATGCCTTACGTTATAATAACAGTGAATTTTCATAGTTGGCACAAGGTCCTGCTTTCTTTCCATGTAAATGTATTAAACAGGAGAAGTGTAAAAAAAAAAAAAGAAAAAAGAAAGAAAGAAATTCCCATCTCATGGGAAGATTAACATCTTATTTACAAATCACGAGGGTCCCTGGGGATAGAGTCCAGCAAATGCCTGGGACAAACTGTGCATTCGGCTGGCAGTTCCGTGACAAGCGTGGAGTTTTATGTTCCTCTTGAAATGTGTCTTCTACTCTCTGTGGCAGGAAATCTGTCCTTAAATATGAGAAGACATAGATTTATATGTGTGTAATATACTGCATGGAGTCTTTGAGAACATAAATTAATTGATATCCTCTTCATGTACAGAACATTTTTGAAAATAGGCTTCTATGGACTGTTTTTTGAAAGTTGTCAGCAATAATGGTTAAAAAAAAAAGGGATTCATAAATGGTCCATGAGGTACACACGTGGATTTTCTGACAATTTTACATTTTAAACTTGTACAGAAAAATACTGTGTTTTTTCTTAAATCTACATCTTGTCCAGTTCTGGAGACTGTATTTTCTAATTTTTCTTTTCTTGTGAACTTGATCACAGTAATGTATAAGCTTGTAAACCATTAGGGAAATAATTATTTCATCATCCTTGCATGGCATGTGAAAAAAGGTGATAATGTATAGTTGCAACGTATAATTGTAAGTGCTGTTACAAAGTTAATTTTAATACAATCTTTGATAGCAGTATCTACATGTAAAATCAGTTTTTACTGCTTGCTTGTTAACACGTGACCTACGTGGCTAAAGATATTTTTAAAGAATTCCGTGATGACTGTGAAGCTGTGTCCCATAAAATTAACTTGCTAAAGTTGCAGGCACTGATTGGTAGCTCCTGAATCCCCATCCCAGAGTCCTGGGAGAGAGAATCTCATTGGCCTGTTTTGGGTCAGGTGATCAGGCTGGCCATGCCTACTTTGGTAGATGGGCTGAAGCCAGGTGGGTATGTCCAGGGGGTACCCAGGGAAGTGGGGGAAGGGCTGACACCACCAAAAAGGTCTGTGACCCACAGATTCTCAGAAGTTGAAATTTTGTCACAAGACTGCTTCTGCCCCAGCAGTTTTTGTTTCTTTTTACCTTTATTAACTTGATATCTGAAAAAGGTAACTTCTTTTAATTTACGGTTCTTTTTTTGCTAGTGAGGTGAATACATTCAGACATTTAGCTATTTGCATTTTCTTATCTGTAAGTTATAACTCTGTTCTTTCACAAATTCTAATGAAAGTGCTTTTGTGTTTTTAATGATTCCAGAAAATAGGTAGCTAATTAGATATTCATTCTTTGTTTTACATTTGAAAAATAATTTATTATAATAAAGCAGGCATTTACGTTTCTACAGCCCTTAAAATACGATCACTTAAAAAAATGAACAGTACCCTAGAATTTAAACATAATTCGTGTCTGATCAGGTAGATGATGATATTTTTTCTTTTTCAGCCAAATTCTTTAAAAAAAAATCCCTTGATAGTGGTAAAAATAAATACCAAGTAGAAATTATCTGTGTTTAAATTCAGGATGTACCAGTGTAGAGTAAAATTCATCATTGTTTCCCCCAGGTTGTAGTGAGTTTCGGTTTTGGTTTTGTTGCGGTAGTGAGTTTTGCCAAGCGTATACTGTATGCTAAGGATATAGTAAATGTTCTCCTCTTCTTTCTACAGGGAATTGATGTTGATGCGGAAAGCTGTGCAGTGTGTATTGAAAATTTTAGAGGAAAGGATGTTATCAGAATCCTGCCATGCAAGTACGTTCTCTTACTTCCTGAGATGTTGAAAATTACTGACAAGTTTCAGGTTTCTGACCAGAGAGTGAACATGTTTTTCATGATATGAAGACCTTGCTATCAGGTGGTATCTTGTGATCATCTCACCTTTTAGAAAAGAAGCTCGAAGTCTTCAAGGCTCCTCCTGTATTGTTTTACTTTAAAATTGCTTTGCTTGGAGACTTTAGGTGAGCATTCAGACCCATTATGTCCTTTTGTCATAGATTGGCTTTTTAGTCTTTTTAGCAAGGCTTCTTTAGGGTCCTGGGAATCTATACTATCCATTGAGCTATTCGGATAGGTGAAGGCCCTGGGGGTTAGGGCCAGGAGCAGCCCGCAGATGTGGCTCCGGCTTTGCTGGGTTTTTTACTTTTAAATATTTTAATACTTAATGTTTTGAACTAGTGAGCATTTTCCCAGACATTTATTAGAAATGTTATTTTTAAAGACATTTCCTGGTTATGTATCTTTGTCTACTGTTTTCTACCGAGATGCCTTTTTTCTTAGATTTGGCTCTGCTGTTATTGGCACCCTGGGTTCGGGTTCTTTTGGGGGTTGTGTGAAATAAATATTCCTCCCTTATTTCATTAATTTATTTTCTTTAGCAACAGGAAGTTATGTTTCCTTTTTAATAATGAGATACTTCGTTAACTTTTTTGAAAAATTGCTTTGTTAGCAGAAAGGTGTACAAAGATTATGTTTTAAAGCTGGTCAGTTTTAATTATACTTCCCACCTATTAGAAGCAGGTCACAAGTTAAAATATAATTATGTCTTGCTTTATGTTTGCAAAGTGTCCCAGTACTTTATAGGGGATTAAGTTCTCAGGAGTTCTGTAGAGGAAATGAAGGCATGAAGATCAGAACAACAAAATTAATTTCCCTGCATGAAGATGGTGAACTTAAATCTACAGGCATTTATATGGGTGGGTGTGGTGGATACTTAGTGAATTGGGGTCAGTGTCGGGTGATGGTGTCCTGTAGAAAATTATTAAGATAGAGAAGAATTTTTACTCCAGGTGGGCTTAGGGCACGTCTTTGTGACCTGGATGCCACACAGTGAGCAGCCTGAGGCCGATTTCCTTTTATAGGAAATCCAGATACTCCTGAAGGCCGAGCTGGGATTTGCACTGGAGCTTCATAAACAGACGAGTTTACGTGTGCGCTTATCCTGGTCTCCTTCATGGGGTTTTATTCCGTCCACCCCCGTTTCCTCCTATGATTTATATCAACAAATTTCCGAATAAAGCCCACGTGTTGGTTTTGTTTTTTCAGAATGATTCCAGTGGGTCAGTTTCAGTTTGAGGATGGAAAGGTACAAGCTGGACTGGACCATGTTATGTCCTTACATGCTGTGATTTTTAACTGCACTGGCAGATTTCCCTTTGAAGGAAAGGTCTTCAGACAGTGACGACAGTAATAATAATGAAAAATTACTGAGGATTTATTGTGCCCAGCACCCTTGTAACCACATCACACGTTTGCTCCTCAGAACAGCTGCAGGGTAGGTGCAGAGAGGCCTCAGGATCTAGTTCAGAGTCACAGCATCAGGACGCACAGCTGGTGTCTGAGCCTGATCTGTGTGGCTCTGATACCCACAGCTGCTTACCTGCAGTACAGGTAGAAAATGTAGATTCATCACAGAGGAGGGGAAGTGAGCCAATGAGGACAGTCAGTAAAAGAAGAAAATTCATATGTGGTTTTTCTTTTTTTTGATTCTGAAAACGATATGTTCATTCTAGAAAAATGTAGATGCTGCAAAAATATATAAGACCAAAAAATAAGTGTTTTTTTAGCCTGCAAGCCAAAGTTGACTTGTTAATATTTTGTTGTATTTCCATTGGAGTCATCTTATAGACTTATATCAGATACTGTGAGTTTAGTATTACTTTGTTACTATTAGTTTACTCTTGGGTTACTTAGGCCACGTTTATTCCCAAATAAAAATACATCCTAGCATGATGTGAAAATAAACCGTGTTATTTTTGTGCAGCGAAGGGGGTATTTCCCTCCACACGCCAGATTCTATTTAACGTGGAGAAATAGCATAGATGACTCCCCAGGGTAAATGGATAGACTGGAATGTTGGTTTGATGGCATTTAACTTGTAATGAGAAGATGAGTTGGTGGAATGTGTTGTTTCCTTTATAAGATATAAACATTTATTTTAAAACATTAACACATACTTAATTTTTTTAGGCATATTTTTCATAGAATATGCATTGACCCATGGCTTTTGGATCACCGAACGTGTCCAATGTGTAAACTTGATGTCATCAAAGCCCTGGGATATTGGGTTTGTTACATTTTTGTTTATATTCAATCTCTGCACCCCCGTTCTCCCTGAGTGATTGGATTCTGTTCCTGACCAGAGGCGGGAGTGGACTAAATGCTCCTTCTAGCATCCTGGTGGTTCCTGAAGAAATTTTCCTCTTTATTAAAAGTGAATTCTTAAGACATTCCCCAAAATCAGTGAACTAAATTTGTGATTACAGAATAATATGCTAGGTGTTTCCTTAGAGTTTGTACTTAGAGTGGTATCTTTGTTAGATGTCGGTGTGACGCTGCAGGGTGTATAGGTGCTAGTCAGCGTCATATAAACAGGAATTATTATAAAATGTTTGAAACGGAAGAAGCCTCGTGCACAGGTGCACATCTTACACACGAGGAAGCTAAAGCACATACCTGTTGACACCAGCTCTCCCGATGCTTGGGTTTCAGAGTCAAGATGCTGTGGGGAGATTTATCCTGCACCCAGCGTGCTCCATCACTTTGTGATACCGAGATGGTCATAGACCTTCCTCAGAAAATAGAGACGGGACGGCAGAGTGAAAGAGAGCGCGTCGTGGTAGCCACGCGCTGATGCCTTACACGAGTTATTACGTTGACTCTTCCAGCCCCTATGGGAGGGAAGCGCTGTGACTCTCCTTACTTTACTAACTAGAAACTCGAGCTCAGAGAGAAGTAGCTCACCTAAGGTCACACGGTGAGGTAATAGGGAATCAGCTTTCAGGTGCAGGCTTGCTTAATTCCAGTGTCCAAGCTCTCAACTACCCTCCTACCCAAAAGAGGGGAGGGACACAGATGGGGGAAAAAGCCCAGATCTTCCTAGATTGTTATATTTTTAGAGTCGTCCTGTAATCTATTAATGTCTGAAGATATTCTTGATTAAATATAAATAGTTTTGAAACAGATCTTTGGAAGAAGTAACTTAAGTGTCAAATATATTTTTCTTGTTGCTAAACAGAGGTTTTGGCAGCGTTTATTACAGAGGTAGAAACTACAAAGAGGTTTTTTTATTATGATAATGACTTTATGTGACTTAAAGCCATAACAGCCTTCAAGGCTGCAGGCCCCCTTCGGAGTATTTTTCATTTTCTAGTTCAGCGTATCTTCAAAAGAGAGCTGAGGGACCACGCACTGCCTTAATAACCAGTGTGATTTTCTGTGAATTATAGTTTTCAAGTGTGAGTTCCAGAGGCCTCACCCGTAGGTACACGGAGAGGGAGGCAGCAGGACTGTCTTGCTGGAAATTCATCCGCCTGGATGTCTGGAAAATGTGCCTTTGCTGTAGAATTTCTAACATTCGTTGGTTCGTAGTCTTGATAACTGGCGGCTCTCCCTGGCGTGGAGGCTCACCCCCGACTGCCTCACGCCTTCCTGGGACCGCATTTGGAACAGTAGAACCCAGGGAGCGAGACAGGTGTTTTCTTGGCAGTTTTCCTTCTTCGTCTTTTCCTCTTGTAGATACGCTCTGAAGCTTCTTTTCTTTTCTTCATCAGTCAGTCATTTTAAACCTCTTTTCATTTCTAAACCTTTGTGCAAAAGGCATTTCACTGACCTTAGCGTTGAGACTTTAATCCTCGCGAGTTGTGCTTTTCGAAATATATATGTATGTTTCGTGTGTTAAAAATCAAGACTCTTCATTTTATATCAGGTTGGATTGCTTTCAGAATGTTCAATTTCAGAAAGCTAGAATATGTGTCCCCAGAAAGCTTGCTTGCTTTTTTGAAGAAACCTACAGTAACTTTAAATCAAACTTAAGAAATTAATTTGTCTTGCCTTTAACTTTTTTTTTTAATCCTTTGACAAATCTGCCATTTTCTTTGGGCCCATTGGCCCCTCCTGCGTTGGGCTGTAGAGATAGTTATGACTCTCGTATGGTAACTAGTTCTCATTTCCAAGAAAATGAGCAGGTGAGAGCGGCTTTGAAGAGCCTCTTGTCCCTGTTGTGTCTGTCCGCTCATGGGGTGCAGGCATTCACCAGGGGAGTGATGCATAAGGTGCTGGGTCTGAACTTGGCTCCAGGGAGACGAAGGGATAAGACTCAGCCCTCCTGCCCGCAGGCTCCTGGGGGGGCTCCGCTTTCTGGACTGGTGGGTGGGAGCCGGGCCTGCGGCCCACCCCGCTGGCCAGGGAGGCCTGTTTGAAGAGTGTGGGCACAGAGGAAGGCGGCCTTGACCCTGCCAGCTGCATGTGGGAAGGGACAGGGAGGGGTTTTTAGAGGCACGTCTGAGCTGCATGTTCAAGGGTTAGTGTATCGCAGGGAGTGACCAGGTGGGGTTTGGGACGGGCAGGTAGTTCAGTTTGGCAGGTATTTAGACAAGTACCTGGAAGAACAGACTAGGGTGGGCTGTGTGGCAGTCCGGATGCTACAGCAGCTCCACAGGATTTGTCGGTTGGTGCGTCACGAGTCTGTTCTGCGGGTGTTCGGTTGCCTGTGAGAAGGCAGGGAGCCACGTGGTGCCCGGGAGTGAGGAGAGGGTTCCAGAACACGTGTGGAGCCAGCAGTGAGCAGGCGGGCCCCAGGAGCGGGCGGCAGGGCTGTGCGCTGCCCTCAGCCTGAGCCAGGGTTCGCAGGAACGCCCCCCCAACGCACACACCTTCGGTCGGTCACTCAGCAGCAGCTTCGGCCATCACGACACAGCTCTGACCCTGGCATGAATCAAGAAAGGTTTCTGGATGGCCCCTGAATTTTGAGACTCGGACGTAGTGACGCTTGTAGAGTCTCCCGCTCTGACTTTCATGATCTCCTTTTCTTCTTTGAAGCAGCAAATGGGGAAGCGAGGCAAACTGGCAGCGGGTGGACACCCTTTCTGTAAGGAAGGAGCAGAATTGGTTATCTAAAGGCGAATGCAGGTACAGTCTGCAGCCCTCTGCTGTTCAGAAGCCTGCTTGTCTCCGAAGCCCTGGCACCTGGCAGCCATTAGGGCAGTCATTCGAGCTCAGGGCTCCAGCCTCAGCGATGAGCGCCCAGCCAGGCTGCTCAGAAAGGCAGCAAAGTGCATTTGTGACGAAGCTCCACTTTCTGTCAATAAATAGTTTAAACGGTAGCATCGTTTGCATCGAGGGGAAAAATGGTTTTTAGAGGAAAAGGATTTAGGTCTTGAAAAGCTGCTTATTGAAGAGTGCTCGTTTTCTGGTGATGCTAAATAAATAAGACACTGTTGAGCTTTTTTGCCATGTTCATGTATAAAAGTAAATATTTTGTATGAATTAGGAGCAAAAGATGATAGATAAGCCTGATCGTGTTACTGAGAAAAGGTATTTTCTTTGCTCTAACTCTCAAGGGAGAGCTTGAGGACGTGCAGGAGACGCCTGCCCCAGAATCGCCCCCCGGGGGCGTTTCGACTGCAGATCTGAGTCTTACTTTACCGGATGGTGACAGAAGTGACGCGGGCAGCTCAGCACTGCCCACCACCAGCGACTCCGCGCCACCTTGCGAGGCCAGTTTTAAAGAGGATGCAGGTGAAAACACGGCCTTGCTGGGTGAGTCTTTTGCGGGTTCTCAAACAAAATGATGTTATCAGTGGTTGAAAGAAGGTGAAGAAATACATAAGGTGCAGAAAAACATAAAGGAAGAATGATAACCATGACCTCACACCTGCAAATACCATTTTAACATTTCCATTAATATACTTCAGATGTTTTTTCTGTGTTTAAGGATGGGGAGAATATCATTCATGTGCCGTTAGGTGACCTGTTGTTTTTTTTAAATTTTTGGCTGCCCTGGATCTCTGTTGCTGTGCGCGGGCTTTTCTCAGGTTGCGGCGAGCGGGGGCTACTCTTACGTGCAGTGTGCAGGCTTCTCTTTGCAGTGGCTTCTCGTTGCAGAGCACGGGCTCTAGTTGCGTGGGCTTCGGTAGTTGTGGCACGCGGGCTCAGTAGTTGTGGCATGCGGGCTCAGTAGTTGTGGCATGCGGGCTCAGTAGTTGTGGCGCACAGGCTTAGTTGCTCCGCGGCATGTGGGATCTTCCAGGACCAGGGCTCGAACCCGTGTCCCCTGCATTGGCAGGCGGATTCCTAACACTGTGCCACCAGGGAAGCCCAGGTGACCTGTTTTTTCCTCTTAATGTGTGAAGCTCTTTCTGTATCAGTAGACAGGACACATGATTTGGTACAGCTGCGTAGTATTACATTTTGGATTCACTGTAATTTCTGTAAACCACATCCTGCTGATGGACTTTTGTCATCAGTAACACTGAAATTTTGTGTATACATTTACCACCTCTCTGTAAAATAATGAATTGCATTGTTTTAAATTACTAATGCAATTATCTTTTCATATTTGTTGGTTATTTATATTTCTTTTCTGAGTTGCCCATTATTTCATCCTTAGCTTCTTTTTCTATGGAGAAACTAATTTTTCATACTGATTCTAAGAGCTCTTGGTCTTTGATTTTTATCTAGTCTAGCTTCTCATTCTTTCATGATTCTTTCTGCCTTTGACAGCACGCTAACTTAGGAAAATCTGTCTCATCTGAGGGTTATTAATTTAAATTTTACTGACATTTGTGGCTTTGTATTTTACGTTTAAATCTTTAATCCGCATTGTTTAAGGGGAGATTTAACTAACCTATTTTTCCCAAATGTTTAACCACTTGACCATTGTTTAGTGATAATTACTTGTGAATAATAAGTTTTGATATTTGAAAGGCAAGGCAAATTCCTTCATCTGTATTCTTTTTAAAAAAAGAATTCTGAACTGTTCTTCATTTTTTAAGATTAATCTTAAAATCAACTTGCCATGTGTAAGAAACTCCCATGAGAATTTTTATTATAGTTGAATTAATTTATAGGTTATTTTAACTGGGAAGAATTGATGCTTCTAATTTTGAATTTTGCCATCCTGGAAGAGGAAGCATATTTTCCCAAATCGGTAGTATTCAAACTGAATCGGTTTGTCTTTTTTGTCCATTTTTAGAATCTGGGAGGCAAAGACAGAAATATGAGAACTTAAGTTTTAAACCAGTACCAGAGGAAGAAAGAATGCATTGTGTAAGAACAAGGGAGAATGAATTTCAGAGAATGAGGAAGTGGAAAGGTGGATTGTGTACGAGTTCTCCTAACCAGCTCTCCTGCTGGGACTCTGCCTTGTGAGGCAGACAGTTCCATTTATAAATGTTTATAAATGCTTCTTGTTTTTAGGAATTCCATTGCTTTGTGCCTAAGTGCACACCGTTGTTAGGTATTCCATTGCTTTGTGCCTAAGTGCACACCATTGTTATTTTTTTTTTACCATTGCCTTCAGGCTCCAGAAAGGAAACGAAATTTGTTTCCTTTAGTACTTGACTACCCTTGAGATATTTCAGGACAGGTAAAACTCTTATCCTAAACTAAATTTCCAAGTATTTGTTCAGGTAATTCATAATTCACTCAGGTAATTTGACAGGTGATTTATATGTCAATGTTCTTTCTACCCTGTAACTGTTTGAAAACTACTGGAAAAAATCAATTCTTTTAAGCAGACATTAGTACTTTAGTGTAGTGTTAGTACTTTAGTATAATGTCTGCTTATAATTATATTAGTATAATTAGTGCAATGTAGCTTTACTCCTAGCTGAGCTAACATTTGCTCAGGAGCGCCTAGGAAATGGATGCGGGGGTTATTAACGGTAGCCCACTCCCTGGAGGACGCGTCTGCCCGAGGGGGCTCCTCTTTTGTCTGCTTGACCTCAGGTCTGATTGAGGAAGTATCCTGTCACTGTAAGAAACCTTTTGTGCTGAAATTATCTTTTACTCCTCTTCCTAGTAACATCCAACTGGATTCAAAGGCTGGTTTGAACCTCTCTGTGCCTCAGTTTCCAGTCTCTAGATTGGGGATAATACCGTACTTGTCTCTAGCTCATAGGGTCTATATTGCCCGGTAAATGCTAGCTACTGTTTTCATGGTGGTGACACCATCGCTCTGTGTCTGAAAACACACTCTAATTAATCCCACCAGCTCAGCCTGTGTCTTTTCTATAGCACCGTGCTGACCACGTGAATACTCATTAGGCTAATGCCAGGAAACCTCTCATGCTGTATGTGAGGAGGGTGTTTATATATTTCCTTGAGTGTCTGGAATAGGTTGTCGTTTTTCCATGCAAGTTTTATTTAAAATTTTCCCGAATTTGTTTCTTGAACTGTGATCTCCAAATCTAACAGTGTTTATGTAATTAAAGTTCAGAATATACCAACCAGCGCTGGCTTTTGTTGTTCTGTTGCAGAGACAAGCAGGAGTGACCCTCAGCGTGAAGGACCTGTCTCCTAGCGTACAACCTGCTGGCAGTGTCACGGACAGAGCTTGGGCTTGAATTAAAGGACATTTTATTTTTTTTTTTACTTTAGCACACAGTTTGTATGTGTGAAAATAATGTACATTCTTTTACCTTTCAGGTTCTGGTTTGATACACAAAGGGCTAAGATACTTTATTCTTCAAGAGAATTTTTGATTAGTCTTCGTGCATTTATCTACTAAAATGTATCGTAAGATTCTTTCTTCTCAAGGATGGTTCTAGACTAAGCACACTGAATTCAGACTAGTTCAAATGGAGTTGTGTGATTATATTCAGTAGTTGATCACATGAGTTTCCCTGGAGGAAAGACTTTTTTAGAACATGAAACTTGTGAATGTGATGAGAGAAATCTATCGCTTCCTTGCACCTCTGTACTATAGAGAGATTTCCAAACCTTAGAGCACTTTCATTGTTGTTGTTTATTTGGAGTTACGGGAAAAGCACTGGTTGACTTTAGGATTTGCATTTCTCCCTCTCGTTACCTAATTTCTTCTAACAACCTTGATGGGGAGGAAAGTTTTGTCCATTTTTTTCTATACGAATAAAAAAAGCTACGATTCCGTATTGCGCACGAGCATGAAGTTCTTCATTGCTTGTTAAAGAAATGGAGTAGACAGACTCTGATATGGCGTTTTTGGGGGTAAATGGTGAATATGCTGATTCCAACTGCAGTTTAATCTTTACAATGATAAAGCGTGGTAGATGGGGACTTTCCATTGCTGTTGTAACAAAATAAACAAGTAACCGGTTTCCTTGATTAATTTTAAAGCAAACTTAATGGCGGTGACCTTGTTTAATCATCTCTCCTCTATACTCTCGTTTGCTGTTCTTCCTTGGCAGTGGAGGTGGAGGGAGTGGGCTGTTCAAGCTTTCGGGGATCGCTTTATCAATTGATAAAGCGATTAAACAGACACACACACTGTCCTCACTTCTTAGAGGTGGAAGTCAAGGATGAGGAAGAGATTTTTTTAGAACTGAAATTGTGGCCCTTTTTCGTTTCCAAACTAGTTACTGTGTGTATCTGTGTGGGTAAAAATACATGTTTATTAAGAATATATAATTTTTAAAATTTAAATAATTTATTTTTATAGCTGTATCTAAGATGTAAAGTTTATATAGCTTATTTTTTTCAAACTATTTACTACACTTTGATTCCAGCCACTCAGTGAAATACTAGGTGAGTAAACAGTGTTTACCGAACGAAGTAAACTGAGGCCAGTTTCCATGTGAGGAGCTGTTGGAATAGAAGTTGTCTTACTTTGAGCTCTCATTTCAACAGACAGCCTCAGTAGGTTTCCATAATAGCAATTATCTTTGAAATCCGCCTTCTGTGGTGCATTGTGGATAGGAAAATATGTCCTTGATTTTATACTGAGTAGACTGTTTGCTCTTTGTATTTTAACACACACAGTAGGGAAAGATGCTTTAATTCTTCGCAGTAGCCAATGAAGCTGACTTTTAAAAAGAATACTGTGACAGATCAAGGTAAATTGTTTTTGATGATTATGGAAGTGTGAGTTCTTAATCAGTGGCTGTCAGCTAGAGCTTTCCTTAATTCAGAAGTTTGAACCCTAAGTTATAAATAGAAGAGACTGGAAAAATTATAGTACTCTTATTTCTAGAAACACAAGTCTTTAACAGCAGATAAATTAGCAAGAGAAGACAGAAAACTTCAGTACTTCGAAAGGAAAATGTTTCCTTTGATACGCTTTTCTTAGGTGGAAATAAACATGATAACGGGTCAAATATTACTAGAATTTTTGCTGAAATATAAACTTGATAAAATGCTGGGAATCTGGGGAATGTCAATGAAGAAAGATTAGTAAATGAGAGATGTAGTCAAGGTTATATTATTTATGGCAGTAATCGATTTCCTTCTGACAGTTGTCATGAAGACCATTTCTTCACAAATAATGTAGAGACAGTATTTTTTCTTTTTAACTGAGAGCCTCAGGCAGGCCGTGGAGGAGGGCAGTGTACCCATGGATGTGAACACCCCGCAGGGTGTTGCCTGCCATTGCTGCTTCCGGGCTTCCCATCAGAAAGCCACGACGCCCAGAGGGGAGGCGTACACACAGCACCTGGAGCAGGTAATAGCTCTTTGCATGCTGTCCTTTTAGGGATGTTGAATCCGCAGAGCCTTTCCTGAAAGACTGCTCCCTCCCTGTAGTTACTGAGGAATGATGACACTAAAAGGCCGAATTGCAGTGTGTCCCTCAGCAGTTGGCTCTCTGTGGGCGCACGATGACAAAACCTCCTGAAGCGAACCTCTGGTCTGACCTCAGTAATGTCAGGGCAAGATTTCCAAGATAGGCCTTTCCAGCGAGCTCAGATATTTTTAAGAAAAGATAATCAGTGAACCTTGGGGCAACTTCAGGGCTTGCACATGCAGTAAGTACCTCTCTACATGCTTTATGATATACTTGCTGAATCAAAGACCGCTAGACTCATGAAAACAATAACAACAGTAATAGACCTTCAGGAACCGGGTGTGTTTTTACTTGGACACAATACCCAGCGTAACCAGATTCCCCAGTAAGATGGCTTCGTTTGGCTGTAGTCTCCCTTTGAGCACATTAAAGTTGATGTGATCAGTGAGGGCTGAGGTTAAGGTAGCACGCAGATATCACTGACTAGAACCTGAGGTAATGACACGTTTTAGTCACTTTCTTTGGGCTCACTGTAAACCCTGCTTTGAGATTTACAGAGCGTGGGACGCTGGCCTGAAGCAGAGCTCATCTTGCGTGGCGCACGCTGTGCTTCTGTGACGCAGCCACCAACCAGAAAAGCCACCTACGCTTTTCCCAGTTAATTTCGTTTTTGAAGTTTTAAAAACACTTATAAGCATTTCATTCATCAAAAATACTAGTACTTGTATTACTGGTTATGAAAGGGAAACGTCTACAATGTCAGCAGCAGCCGTGCAGCTAGAGATCTGCCCTTGTTCTAACAGCAAAGTATAAATATAAAGTAAGTTGTAAATCAAAAAAAGTACTTGCACTACATTTGTTTAAAATGAGTACAAGAAAAGTCAATCCATTCTTTTTGATGAGTTGTAGGCTTGTGTATTAAGGGCTAAAGAGAAACATGGGAGCACTAGTACTTTCTGTTGGGCTGACTACGGTTACTGAATCCCAGGATTACGGAAGTCCTTTCCTCAAGGATTTTCCTCATAAGAACAGTAGTGACTGCATAAAAAGAAAAGACCAGGTACAAAAGGAAACTAGCAAAATCTCTTGGTACAGGGTGCAGGAATTCTAACAAGTATGTAAAAAGTTCTTCCCGTGCGTTAATTTTCCATTTTAACCCTCAAAATATTTTAGGGATATCACCCTAATATCATTTACAATAGATATGTGATCCACTGTTCACCACGGGGATGTGGATCGTCACAAAATGTGTAATGCAGTACACGCTACTTAAAATTTATGAAAGTATATCTGTATTCTATAAGAATAAAAATTGAGTGATACCATTTCCTTAAAGTTATGTAACGAAATAATACTGTTAAAGAGAGGTATCTGAAATAGTTAAATTTTAGGATTGCAAACACTTTTTTGAACTTTCTACCTAAGATGTCATCTCCTTAACAGGTCTTCTTGCTGTCTTCTTTTTAACAGGTAATTTGAAGATACTAAAGCTACAACAGATTGGAACTAAAAGTCCAGAGAATTCACGGTGTGGTTTTTAAAAAACATGACAGTTAAACTGAACTCGTTTGATGACACTTAAAAGTTGACTGCAGTTTATTGAACCCCAGGATTATTGCTTCTCTTATTTCAGGTAAACTTTGTTCTACTTTTAAATGTTTAATGAAGAGCTTTTTGCTGGTGGTATAACTGTATCTTGACTGTTTTTTTTAATGTTCTCTAAATATAATTACTATTCTTTGTAAGCTATTCATTTAAAATAAATTTGAAAACCTTTCCTCTGTCAAGTAAACACCAGTACTGTAATCTGGAAACGATGCACAGTGGTCTGTCTTTAGTCTCAGGCCATGTCTGCAGATGTGCCCACAGAAGCACACCTGCAGCTCCAAACCAGTGTGTGTAGCACATCTGCGGTGGCTCGTGGACACCCCGGGGGCAGTGACCCTGCTGAGCTGCTGGCACGCGCCCCGCCAGGTGAAGGCTAGACGGGAGGATGCTGTCTTCTAGTTTCAGCTCAGAGTGTCAGCAGGTGTCCTTTTGTGCTCTCTGTAGTCCCACACGTCCGAAATGTTGTGCTTCTCGTTGGTGATCTCGGTTTGGAACGGACCCCAGGCACAGTGTCGTCGCCCTGGCCGCTGCTCCTGAGCGCTGGTGAGGTTCCTCACTGAGAAAACTCGCGGTAGGCAGCGACGTGCGTGCGTCCCGGGGCTGCCAGCCAGGAGGCTCAGCGTGACCAGGAGGCAGCAGGGCCTGGAGCCTGAGGTTGGGGGGCTTGCGGCGAAGCGCGGTCGAAACTTCGCCATTCCAGAGAGTATGTGAATAATGAACTGTTTCTTTGCCCAGTGGTAACATGCAAAACGGTGATGCCAGCCATTAGGTGTTGAGAGAGGTCAACCGTTGCCATCATTTAGATGTCTGAAGGTGCACCTGTTATACCAGTTTGGGTCCTTATTTCCTTGAAGCAAATATATTTATAAATCACTGCCCTTCGTAAGAATAACGAAGCTAAAATTTCTCATAAATCTAAGAATACTGTTTTGCCAATATTACAAGGTGGGAATTTGTACTCATCTTAAAACCCCTCGGCTTGGTATCCTTTAACTTTTGCTAAGGGTTGGATTGGAAGGTGATTCCTGTTCCTATGAAGAATACGCTTTGAAAGTACCTCAGCAGATGGGGAGTTTTTCACGATGTCTTCGAGTGAAAAATACACCAGATAATAGAGTTCATAGAAAACTTTAATGTAAGGCACTGCTGTCCAGAGTTAAGTGAGGGGTTAAACAGCCCACAGGACGCCACGGGAAGGGCACAAAGCCCACTCGGCGAGCAGCCGTGCAGCACGGCCCCCGGTGCCGTCCTTCCTCCTGAAGTACCGACGCTCTTAGACTGTTAACAGGAGAGAAGGCCCAGAAAACTACCAGCTCTTATAGTCTCGGAAAAGGTTTCTAAGAATTCCCACGTCTGTAGGCAGCCCGCTGTTGTCTCTTAGGTCCCCATGACAAGAAAGGATAAGGTACACGGGTGTCCGAGGCTCACACTGCACCCAGCGAGAAGTTCAAGGGTCAGAATACTGTCATGTGATAATGACTCAAGACCTCAGGGGCAGTAAGGCAGGTTCTTGAGAGTGTCTTCAATTTACTCTCACTAAAAACTTTCAACGTTGGAACCTCAGGAAAACGGTGTTCTTGCCTTACCTGAAGCCCGTGACTTACATCTTAAGCAAAAACAGGCACCTTGCTCTTCAGGCCTGAGGACCTCCTCTACTTTGTGCAGTGACTTCGTTTGGGGTGACATCCCCACTGGATAATCATCAGCGAGACACCTACAAGACACATTCGTCCACGTTCTCACCAAAAACTCATCTAAAAGAAAAAGTCATCCAGGAAAGCAAAACGTTGCTTTAAGTGGATAAACTGGTGTTTATACGCATTAAGCCAAGCAATCACTCAGGGTCTGAACACTTTTAAAAATGAAAAGCACAGCATAGCTGAACGATGAACAGGTGGTCCCGACGAGCTATCACTTGGACATCTTGGTCTCAGAAGGTGTCTCCCCCGTGTCCAAGGTCTTCAACAACCGGAAGAGGCCTGCAGCTTCTCGTATCCTGCTGAACTCAATACAGAAGGCCTGCACTTCTATAAACAAGTCCTGCACGTTGATGATTTTGTTACGGATCAAGGACTGGAGAAAGACACACACGAGACGCACCAGACGATTCTGAAAAAGAAACCAATTTTAGTGTGCGTTTTCTGGGCAGGTATTTATAAAATTTACAAAAATTTCTATTACTTACCTGCATATATTTATCTTTAATTTGTTCACAGGTAGAAATGCAATTTGATATATAAAGGTGAATAAATTCAGGAGGTAGATCAACAGCTGTAGTTAGTCTGTTTCATAAAGTTAGAAAGGGCTGTTAATTTTATTTGCTAATAACATTTTAAAACACCGTTCACCATAAAATATAAAATTTCCTTTGGTCATTTAGTGAAAAATTCTGATATATGATCTAGTTACCTAGTTTTAAATAAGTTTATGCAAGTAAACCTCGGAGGCCCCCCGCCGCCGCCGCTAATAAGTGACACTTCCTTTTCTTAGGTCTACACTTAGCATTACATGTGCAATACGCATTGAGCACCACGTCCCTGTGTGTTCCTGGCTGAATCAGAATTCATAGTTATCGTCCAAGCTCTAACAACCCGGGCAGTTATTCTGTCCACGTAAGTACCGCTTACTAACCTGATTACACACAAGTGCTATGCAAGGAACGCATGTGAAGAAAGGCGTGGTAGTCACTGAACAGGACAGTGCTAACGTGTGGCGTTTGCACAAAGAGTGATGTAAGTCAAAGACTCGGGAAAAGTCAACAGGGCAAATGACTTAAATGGAAACCCAAGGAGAGAAGTGGTGTCCTTCCAACTAAGTGGATAATCTGAGTGAACTGTGGAATCGGGGACTGGCGTGGCACACTCAGGAGCTGGTGGGAAAGCCCTGGCTGGAAGGTAGCAAAAGGCACCTTGGCCTAGAGTCTTCAAGGGGCGGCTGGTGTTCTCCAAAGGATTCTGTGAAATGTTTTAAGGTGGGGTGGGGGGAGGGTAAAGTAGGAATTTCATGCTCAGATAAAGGTGTGTGCTACGCTAACTATACAGTATGAATTTCCAAAAGTTTTCTAAACTTATTTGATTATAGAACTTTTTTCCTCAAGGCTGAGGAACCCGTGCTCCAAGGAAACACAGCCATAGGCTACCGGCGACACACCTGTGGGTGATGCACCATGATGGGGGTGGCGCACACAGAGCAGACCCTGTCCTTGAAATTACTTCTGCACCACTGATAAAAAGATGGGTATTCTTGGACTAAGTGCCTAACGGCTGGTTTAGACGGGAAGCGGGCACTTAGAGCATGGTCGGCCCAGAGGCCCCGAGCAGGAGGCAGTCCCCAAAGAGGAGTGAGTCTCAGTAACAGGGAAAGGCCGAAGGCCTGGATGAGGGCGCAGAAATGAAGCCGCAGGTCAGCAAGTGGCCAGCCGGTTTTGCCGGCACAGAAAGTAAAAGGTGAATACCTCGTGCTTCCCTCCACAAATCTGCGCTCTCCTACACACACACACTTGGGATCCCTCGGCTTCCAGCCAGGCTTTTCCCACCAGCTGATTATAACTTCATTGTGTTTTTTTTTGCTTTCGGGGGGGGGGGGGTTTGGCTACACAATGTGGTTTGCAAGATCTTAGTTCCCCCACCAGGGATGGGACCCGGGCCCTTGGCAGTGAAAGTGCAGAGTCCTAACCACTGGACCGCCAGGGATTCCCAGGACATATTCTTTAGTACAGCTTTAAGTAGGTTAAAAAACAATTAATCCCCAACTTACAAACGAGTGAGTGTTCAAAAGATGTGCTCTAATTGAAGTGCAGTTGCGCAGCACTCAGAATGGACCTCCCCATGAGCAGAAAAACTATGTAATTTAGGCCCCAGAACAGGACACCACAGGGAGCGGAGCTGACGATGAGAAGCGTAAACTGGGACCACATCAGGCAAGCCTGCACATACGGCTACACTACCCACAGCTTAATGAACGGTACGCTCCCAAGCTAACCCCCTAAGCCTATGGAATTTGTAATTTACCTAAAACATATTTGTAAGCAAAATAACAAAGTGAGAAACCACTATTCAGAGCACATAGAGAAGGGAATGTATTGTTTCCCTGACAGTTGATGACAACGGAGCAAGGAGGCCAAATCAAAGAAAGGTTCAGAGAACAGTGCGAGGAACAACGAACTCTAGGAAGGCATTCCCAGAATTTTCTCAGCTCCTAGACCCATACTGATAACAGCTGTTAGTCTCTAACGAGAAATAATGCAGTGTCTGTAATTTGTGTAAAGAATATACAGTCATACATAGGAGATACATTTTAGCAATTAAGTTTCACCGATGCTGCTACTAGTGCTAAATACTTGAAATACTCTCCAAGTTCTTGCTAGTGGGTGCTAAATTCACATGCAGTCAACACTAAGGCTCAGATTATTTATTTAATGGGTTTTCTCAGACTAACAGTGTATCAGGGGAAAAAAAACTGTTGCTGCTTTTTCCCTCCTCATCATTTAATCCGGATCTACATTACACACCCCTGTCCGCATTTGATCGCGCATAGAAACTTACCGGTTTACAACTTCCATTGAATGTAATGACATGTCCATATTGACCAGAACCGAAAAATACTCAGTGATCTGGCTTGACTGCATTAACTTCAGCAACATTTCTATGGCGACTAGAGGGTTGTTCTCCACCAGGTCAGGAAGCTTGGCTGGAGTGAGGCCAATATGATAGACAAGTTTGGGGTCCTTTTCCAACTCGCCAAGGAGCTAAATATAAACAGATTTTTAGAAAGAGAAAAACAGAGGTTCCTGAGTCAAATCAGAAATTGTCTTTCCTGCATGCATACAAAAAAACAAGTATTTTTATAAAGAAAAGTAAAATTATCTGCACTGAACCAACTTTATAAATGTCTTCCTTCAAATCCATGATCATCATTCTTTGATATTTTAAACTACATTTGAAATGTCAGATACTAAAATCAGGCACCTTCACAACAGTTTATAAACGACACTAATGCATCCAGGGCATTAAACCAGAATCAGTATTGTTTGAATATTGTCTGGATTTTAACAATATCATCCTTAAGTCCTTTGTAGGTTTTTTGTTCCCTGTCATTTGTTAAAAATAATCTTACCGACTAGTTCTCCGGAAAAGCACAGATCACAGAGATCATCGGGGAACATCAGGAACCACAGCCCCACCCAGCGCCGAGGGGAACAGATGCCTGAGAGGGGGACGGGCAGGGGGGAAGGTCTGTCTGCCCCGCACACTGCACACACTCAAATAGGTGTCCTCAAAGACAGTTTCTTCTGCCAAATTGGTACATTCTTAATGTTCTGTGCTCCTTCCCGTCTCCTTGTATGTACACATGTACTGTTTCATGATGGCCTGGTAAGCAAAATGAACTACGCTGGAGATGTATCTTCTGGCAAGTTCTCATGTGAAAGTGTACTAACTGAAGAATAAAGTTCACCAACCGGAACCGCCCACGGTGTCCTGCCTTTTCCCCCGCGGGAAGTGTCACAGTTGGGTGCGGGGGCGCTATTTTGAATCCATCATTAGCCAGCTGTGTGATGGGTGCTAGTTTACCTTCCTGGTTAAATGTTAATGATTCCGCTTACCCTCCTGGAGTCCTGTCCAGCCTAGTAACAATGTACATAAAGCGCCCAGCAGCGCGGAGCAGGAGTGAGCGCCATCCTACCCTCCAGAGTCAAACTCATCCCAAACACAAGTTGCTAGGTTTTCGGGCACCAGGCTTCGTGCCCCACCAGAGGGAAGGGGGGGGGGGGGGGGCGCAGAACAGAGCTTCAGAGGCCACGCCTCCTGCTGCTGGCTCACGCTGCCAACATCACGTTACTGGTCATTTATCACTTTATGAAAAATGAAAACACCTGGTGAATTAAATACAGGAAAATGTTTACAATAAATCCATACCTGTGTCTGCTGAGGAGAAGATAAGGGGCTTTTGAAGGCTTTGGCCATTATTCGCTTGATCTCTACACCAGTGCTGTTCTTCACACACATCGACTTGTCCCACTGAACCGCGTGGTCGGGCTCGGTTGGATTGAGCCAAGCCAGCTCATCCTCACACACGTGGAGCGGAGGTGGTGGACGGATAAACTCCGGCCGAAAATGGCCTGTAATCAAAGTAGCGTGTCTGACTGCTTCTGTCACTCGGCTGACCCCGCAACATGTGTGTATAAACCTCACAGGCTCCGCTTAGTGAAGTGCAGTGACACCTCTTAATAAGGACAACACAGCAACACTCTGACTTGAAAATTAGAAGCAGAAACGACACAAAGGCAGGGTTTTATTCAGAACACAAGAAACTGAAACACTGACATAACATTATGTCGTCAGAGACCAAATCTATTTTGGGGGAGGAGAGGAAAACATTACCACCACCTGACAAGTCCTAGTTCAAGCATGATCACCACTCAATCGCAGGAGGACACAACTTACTCCATGGGTAAGTCTGGATGGGAAAAATAAAACACTAGTTGATCTCACTCATCCTATTCTCAGCACTATTTTATTCAGAGACCATATGATGTGTACTGGTTTTGTTTTTGCATCTTATAACCCTGAAGTAGCAAATTATGTGGAGATGAAATGGTAGGGGAAAGGTACGGTTGACTATTGACATGCTCAAATGAATCTGGAGACTTTCATAAACCCCAAAGTTCACAAATGCTATATCATTTTCTTAAAACAGTAAAAATACAACAGAACAGTGAAGTCACTCAATTTAATACCTCAACTATTTTACAAAACAAGATTGATCCCTAAGTTATAAACCCACTAAAAGAAATGCTGTCTGGGACTTCTCAGCAAATTTCACCCCTCACTTTGGTTCCCACGTAGGGTCTAAGATGGCTAACTAACTCCTCTCATGGACCGAGCCCCGGCCAAATTTGAGATTACTAGGTCCCCTAGTTTACTGAAAATGTCTATGTCTGGCTAAGAATCATCCCTTTATCTTAAACTACACCATCTCTTCACATATATCACCAGAACTAGCACCTGAATCTCTGCAGCCCATTTACAAAAAGAAAGTTTTTAACATTTCACGAGAAGTTATACCCATGTGATAAAGAGAAAGTTCCCATGAGGTAAGGATGCCTGGTGTTCAGCTAGACTCAGACCTAACATCTGATTTACTTGCTTCTTACACACCTTTCCAGTGGCCCATTCAAGTCAAAGATGTGCCCGAGCAAGTATTAAATACAACCCATCTGTGCCTTGGACCTTCCCACACACTGTGACTAGCTGAGACTTATTTATTCCAAAGACCTACTGTAAATGGCATTAAAAGTCACAGTGTAAGTTTTAAACTCAAGGTGACACTATAGTCTGGAGAACATGTTCTTATCCCTAAGCAGAAAGCATGCCTTCGTCATTAAAACCACACAGAATCGTATAAAACCAAAAAATGCAGGACTCCCTCGTGGCACAGTGGCTAAGAATCCGCCTGCCAATGCAGGGGACACAGGTTCAAGCCCTGGTCCGGGAAGATCCCACATGCCGTGGGGCAACTGAGGCTGCATGCCTAGAGCCCGTGCTCTGCAACAAGAGAAGCCACTGCAATAAGTGCATGCACTGCAACGAAGAGTAGCCCCCGCTCACCGCAACTAGAGAAAGCCTGCGCGCAGCAACAAAGACCCAACACAGCCAAAAATAAATAATTTTTAAAAAATGCTCTTTCAAGTTCAATAGGAGTTATCTTTGAATTAAATTAAGAGCTATAAGATCAGTAAAACGTCAATGGAAAATAAGATTAATGAAGTATAAAACAAAAAGGTAATAAACTACAAAAATAAACTCATTTCAGTAAAATCAGAGAATTTATATCCTTAGATATGCTGATGATAGGTATGTAATAAAAAATACTTGGGATTTTTTTGGCTGCATCATACAGCATGTGGGATCTTGTTCCCTGACCAGGGATGGAACCTGCACCCTCTGCAGTGGAAGCGTGGCATCCTAACCACTGGACCACCAGGGAATTCCCAAAACCTTGGTATTTTTATTAAAAAAGAAACTAACTTTTTTTTTTTTTTTTAAGTTTAAAAAATTATTTTTGGCTGCATTGGGTCTTCGTTGACGTGCAGGCTTTCTCTAGTTGTGGTGAGCAGGGGCTACTCTTCGGTGCTGTGAGCGGGCTTCTCATTGCGGTGGCTTCTCTTGTTATGGAGCACAGGCTCTAGGCGTGCGGGCTCAGTAGTTGTGACTCATGGGCTCTAGAGCGCAGGTTCAGTAGTTGTGGCGCACGGGCTTAGTTGGTCCGCGGCATGTGGGATCTTCCCAGACCAGGGCTTGAACCCGTGTCCCCTGCACTGGCAGGCGGATTCTTAACCACTGCGCTACCAGGGAAGCCCAAGAAACTAACTTTTATTGAGCATCTCTACTATGTTCCAGACACTATACTAGGAAGTTTCTCACTAAATTCATGTTTAACATTCTCTGACATAAATCCTACCAATATTTTCTTAGGTCATTCTCCCAGGCAATAGAAATAAAAGCAAAAGTAAACAAATAGGACCTAATCAAACTTACAAGCTTTTATACAGCAAAGGAAACCATAAACAAAATGAAAAGACAACCTACAGACTGGGAAAAAACATGTGCAAATGGTACGACCAACAAGGGTTTAATTTCCAAAACATACAAACAGCTCATACAACTGAACAACAGAAAAAAACAAACAACGCAATCAAAAAATAAGCAGACCTAAAGAGACATTTCTTCAAAGAAGACATACAGATCACCAACAGGCACATGAAAAGATGCTCAGCATTGCTCAATGCAGATCAAATTAAAACTTCAGTGAGATACCACCTCACACTGGTCAGAATGGCCATCATTAAAAAATCTACAAATAACGTGCTGGAGAGGCTGTGGAGAAAAGAAAACCCTCCTACATTATGGACGGGAATGTAAATTGGTGCAGACACTATAGAAAACAGTACAGAGGTTCCAGAGTTACTGTCTGACCCAGCAATCCCACTCCTGGGCATATATCCAGACAAAACTCTTAAGTCAAAAAGATACACGCACCCCTATGTTCACAGCAGCACTATTCACAATAGGCAAGACATGGAAACAACCTAAATGTCCATCACCAGATGAAACGATAAAGAAGATGTGGCATATTTATACAATGGAATATTATTAAGCCATAAAAAAGAATGAAATAATGCCATTTGCAGCAATATGGATGCACCTAGAGATTATACTATGTGAAGTCAGACAGAGAAAGACAAATATCATATGATATCACTTATATGTGGAGTCTAAAATGTGACACAAATGAACTTATCCATGAAACAAACAGACTCACAGACATAGAGAACAGACTTGTGGTTGCCAAGGGGAAGAGGGGATTGGGGAGGGATGGATTGGGAGTTTGGGATTAGCAGATGCAAACTATTATATAGAGAATGGATAAACAACAAGGTCCTACTGTATAGCACAGAGAACTATATTTAATATCCTGTGATAAACCACAATGGAAAAGAATATGAAAAAGAATGTACATGTACATATATATATATATATATATACACATATAACCGAATCACTCTGCTGTACAGCAGAAATTAACACAACATTGTAAATCAACTGCACTTCAATAAAATAAATTTTTAAAAATTCATGTTTAAGGGCTTCCCTGGTGGCGCAGTGGTTGAGAGTCCTCCTGCCAATGCAGGGGACACGGGTTCGTGCCCCGGTCTGGGAAGATCCCACATGCCACGGAGCGGCTGGGCCCGTGAGCCATGGCTGCTGAGCCTGCACGTCCGGAGCCTGTGCTCCGCAACGGGAGAGGCCACAACAGTGAGAGGCCCGCGTACCACACACACACAAAAAAATTCACGTTTAAGTATCAACGAAAACAACATGATGTTTCAGAAAACCAGAAAGTCTCGGGGACGCTGATAACATAAAACCAAGAATACAAAATTAGATATACCTACTTTCAATAGGTGGCTTTGGTCCACTGACTAAAGCTTCCGTGATCTGAGAGGCAACGGAGCTGTCAAATCCAGAATTAGAAGAATCCGGGTCTGGGTCACTGAGAATGCTAGGGAAGCTGGCCTTACTTTGAGTTGGCAATTCAGACTGGCGTTCTGAAATAGATTAAAATAGGAAATATTTCAAAACTGAGGGCACCACAAGGAGAGTGAAAAGAGAAGCTACTAAATGGAGAAAGTTATCTACAACACATAAACAAAGGGCCAGATTCAGGATAGATTATCAATTTTAAAAAATAGGAAAAAATGGGCTAATGACTTCCACTAAGTGTTTTATTTTTAAAAAGCCTGAGGCTTCCCTGGTGGAACAGTGGTTACGAATCCGCCTGTCAATGCAGGGGACATGGTTCGATCCCCGGCCCAGGAAGATCCCACATGCCGCGAAGCAACTAAGCCTGTGTGCCACAACTACTGAGCCTGTGCTCTACAGCCTGTGCTCTGCAACAAGAAA